AGAATTTAGCTTTCAATTATTTATTCAGTACATAGGTTTGGGTAAAATTGCACCATCTGCTTTATCTATAAACCAACCAAATTATTTTTATTTTGACAATTCATCGATTACAAATTTAATATAACTTTATACTGATTAGCACTTGAAATAAGTTACATTGTTCTCTGTCTTTGACATTGGCCGAAGTAAACCGATGTTTAGGAGATAGTTTCTTAAAATTATAAACATCAGGGGCCGTATTCACAACTTATCTTAAGTTTTTGTTTGACTTAAATATAAGGTTTTTTTATATTTTGAGATTTTTTCTTAGATTTAAGATAAGAATCTGCAATTTACTTAAGTTGTATTCACAACTATTTTTATCTTAAGTTTTGTCTTAAAATTGACATAATTATAAGTCAGCTACTACCCTATCCTAAAGTTAAGAAATTTCTTAACTTGGCAGTAGATTATCTTAAAAATCGTCGATTACATTGAAAACTTTTTTTTTAACTGCCATAAGATTAATTTTCAAAAATGTACGGCTAGCCTCAACAGTGGGTATAGGCTAGTCGTTAGTGGCTCACATGCGGCTACAACATTTGGCTAGCAGTACGGGTCAATCCGGCTAACCACTGCCTTGTATCTAACTCTAAGAACAGAAATTGATCATTTTAATTGTTAAGGTATCAATATTACAACTGATAACGATCTGCATCACTTCAATTATCATCAGTTTACGATGTTCTGAATTATTTCCATTATAAAAGGTGTATAAAAATACAAGAAAGTACAATTGTAAGCCATGTATAACAATCAATCTGCTTTAAGTAGCAAAAAATTATGTGTAAATTAAACAATTACCATTTATCAATAACAATTATTTAATTCATTAATTTTAACTCTGAAAGTAAAAAAATATAGAAATAATATTAGTAATTGCAAGTTCTATCAATGAAACTGATATTTTGTCATTCTATCTTCAAATAAAATGTAGTCTATAAAAAGTATGCTAAATCAATGCAGAAAATACCCAAACCTTTTTTTCTATCAAAATGAATTTAAGCATGTTTATGAAAATTGAAATATAAGCTGGGACGAATCGTCACAAAAGTGGGGCAATTCATTTTTACCAAACTACTCAGGCACTCTTCGGGATTTGAACACGAAACTTCTTGATAACAAGGGGATAAAGGGTTAATATAATATTATACACCTACATTCACAACACATTGTTGATTTTTTTTATAAATCATTATAGCCCAACATATTGTGCACCATGGTTCGTTTTGTAAACGATGATCACCGACATCTATGAAATACAAGTTTGTAAAATCTGTCCGAGTGTCTTGTCATCAAAATAGTGAGATTACAAAATTAACTTTTTATTATTTAGTGACCAAAAAATAATTTTATCGAGATGAATAATAATGTTGAACGACCTTAGTATTTTTACTTCAAATACTATTAAGGTTACTGTACCTTTTGATAAAAAGAAATAAAATATTCAAAATTAATTTCTATGTTAAAAAAATTAGAATATATTTTATAAGTGGGAGTAATAAGAAAAAAACCCTAAACAAAAGGGTTCTTTTAATTTCAAAGAAAATGATATGCACACTTATACACTTTGACTTAGTGTTTCATAATACATGTAATATTTTCTTCAAAGTCGCTTCTATAAATTATATAAACAATCCTATTTAGATATAAAGTTTAAATTATTGCATTGTAAAGTAGCTGTTATTTTTAAAAGGCGTCCCAATCTAACACAAAGAATTCAAAGAAAAATAGAATTATGATGGGATGAAAAAGCTCAATGAGTATTTCTATGTTGGTTAAATCTCAATAGTCTATCTAAGAAAGGTTTTTAAAAACTCAGACATTGAAAGTTTACAATTACTGACTCTGAGGCATCAGCTTAACAGTTTGGTTTAAGTTTTCCATGGACCATCAACATTACAAACTACTTGAGGTATTCAATTGAAACTTAATACACATTTTGGATCATAATTGGTGGATATTATCCAAGGCTCATAACTCTGGCATTAATTTGGCCAGGATTATAGCCCTTTATGAACTAGGAATTCCTGGTTTAAGTTTTTCATGCTACATCAATCTTCAACACTACTGCAGGTATTCACTTATATTCAGGATTATAATTGGAGATCACTATCAAAAGCCCATAACTCTAGCATGGCATTTTACCGAATAAGCCCCAATTTTCTTAAAGTGGATAGTTCGAACCTAGGAATATTTCATACATGAAGTTCAAAATATTGCCAAATATAGATACATACCATTATTATCATATTGTCTGTTCAAGGTTATAAATTGAACACAAACTTGTGTTGTTCAGTGTTGTTCATGGTTAGACACTTAACCAACCATAACAATATCCTTCTGTAATATGATATTTAGTTACGGTGAACTTTCACATTTGTTGTGCGAATTCCCATTTAAAAATGGGGTTTGTTGTTATGGTGTGAATAAATTAATACCATTGAAACACATTTTTTTATATTTTATATTTACCTCACTAAGTGACAACATAATTATGCTCAATTTGTTTGTTTGAATGATAATTAGACTGATATTGAGTTAAAACTTAAAACTAAAACGGCATTTTTTATTTTTGTACCTATAATTTTTTAACATTTTGTTTTTATTTTCAGATGATATCACACTATTCGTGAACCTCGGATGTTGTAGTCATCCAGACTGACAGTAGTATGGAGAAAAAAGATATCAACATAGTAGCAACATGTTACATGATTTATGCTGCTGAACATAACACTGATTCATTCAATAAATACATGGAGAATGAATCGGAATTAAGGTGTAGTTACAATATACTACCATAAGGTATTCGATTTTCTATCTGACAGCTCTTGGCATCTAACATCAAATATCACCTGTTGCAACTTAAAATCATGGACAATAAATACATGTAAAACACAAAGGAAAGATGAAGACCTTATGTGTTTATTAACACTTGAACACATCAGTTGAATCTCACTCTAGAGACCACAAGTAATCCGAATGTTTCATAGAAGAGTACAACATCATGGAGCCTTATTGATACCAATGTTTATGCAGGGCATTTCATTATCCAGTTTCATGTGTGATAAAATGTTAATTAAAATCTATCACTGCCAATTGTGTTTTTAATGAGCAAAAAGAATGTGCCCGATGTTTTCATCTGAAAACACATGAACATTCTAACTTGTGAGAAACTTGAAGACCACCAAAAGGAACACATTGAAAGGAAATTTTAGTTATTGAGAAAGAACTGTTTGAATTAAGATCAGAATGGTCACTATTTTTTCTGTAATTAACCTAGTGATTTCTTTCAGTATGATTATCAGCTCCACTTTTTATAGAAGAAAAAAGGAATGTTAGTCTCTCATAACTGACCTGTTGGCGTTGTTAATTTTAATTATAGACATACACTTCCAATACTTACAAATATATTACATTGAAACTTTATATGTAGAGGAACCTTGATGAGTTAAACCTGCTCCCCTCCCCCAATTTGCATGTCAAATGGTCAAAGTCACTGGGAATTGTGATAACCAAACATAAAACTAGCCAGCATTTACTGAGGAACTTTATACTTTGACAAATTGTATGTACCAGATTTAATCATGATAAGTACTGATTTTGGATCAAAAGGTCAAGGTGATGGGTCACAATGATCTTTGTTAATATTTTTATTGAAATTTATAATGTCAAAAAATGCAGTTATGAAATCTGGGCACAGCCTGCTAAGTCAAAGGTCAAGGTCTATATGACTTTTATTCAAATTATATATTTTTGTAGAAAATATGTGGTTTACTATCTAGATAAGTACTGAGAAAAGTGGAGTGCACTGCTCCTCTGACAGCTCGATCTTACTTTTTTTGCTATCTTTTAACCATTAATAAAAATTGTTTAGAATTTGTGATCATTTGAATGATATATTCTGTATAAATAAAAAACAAAACAAAAAACTTATGACTTGTTTACACACTAAAGGATTTATAAGGACAAAAGCTGAAAAGCATGAAATGTTATTTAAATGCCTTCTTTTTGAATTATTTTAAAATAAATTTAATTGCAACATTTCAATAAAAATAATGAAATTTTAGCCATATGTCTGTACTAGGTTCAACTTTTTATTCATTTACAAGTTCTACCTATACCGTTGGCTTCAGACACTCATTTATACTAATTCAAAACCGTGATCTTTACAAGTCACTTTACTGATGCCTCATCGTACCCTATCCCTCTCCATCTTTTGATTTTTTTATCTATTAAAATTCAAGTGATGTTATGGCTAGCATACTCCCTCAAGTTTAATAATTAAATTGTGTATTGGTTTTCCCAAATACATTGGGCCAGACCTTGCAAGAAAACAAAAATTAAAAACCCCTTTTTCCATTTTTAGAAAATAAAGCCTAAATAGTTTTTTTTAGATATAGTTTTTCCCATTTTATAAATCAGTTGCCCCCTTTTTCCACATTATCAATATCTTTTAGTTTTATATGGTTTTTGGGGAAAAGTTTTCCATTTGTTTTTGCCACGTATAAACCCGGTTTTTAATTTTCAAACATTGAAGAGCATTTTCCGTTACTATTTTTAGTAAGGGAAAAGACATTTTTCTTTTCCAAACCGTTTTAAATTTTTTTTAAAGTTAAATATCACTGCTTGGGGAATTTTTTAAAACCGTAAAAAATTTCTTGGCAAAAGTTTTTTTATTTCCAGTTTCCGAACATAAATTAACTTAAAAAAAAAAATTTAGCTAAGATTGTATTCAACTTATGTTTTAACTTATAAGATAAAACATCAGATTAGTTGTGAATACGGCCCAAGACCAATTCTTATTTTGTTTCCATGCATATATGCAAACAGTGTTCATATAACAAGTACGTAAATGAAGTTGCAGGAATTGTCAGTTATTAACTTCTAATGTTCAGAGTATAAACTGTTGGAGACATAAAAGTATTGGGTTCAAAACTTGTTTTAACTTTGACAAAATATTACCAAGCACTGTAAGTTACGTTGTTGTTATTTATCCATATGAAATTCGTTCTCCTTTTTCTGTCCTCTACACGCCGTAAACCTTAAAAAAGGCAAACAAGTATTTTAAAGATATGAAAAGACCATATCTGTGGTTTAAAGCCAATAAACGTTTTTATAAAGTTTTTTTTCCTTCTATATCGAAAGGTTATTGTGAAAATGGACATAACAGGGAAAACCCCCATGTTGATTAATTAGCTTTCCCGATTTTTAAATAGGGAAATTTTTTTGCCCCTTTTCAATTTTATGATTTTTAAATTTGAAAGCGAACCCCGGTTTTTAAAGTGTTGAGGGCTTAAATAGAGGGTAAGACTTTATTTTATTTTTGAAATGAAGAGTTGCAGGAAAGTTTATTTTTCCCTTTCCCCTAAATTGGGGTCTATTTTGGAATGCCCAGGGAAATTTTTTAATGAATTTTTTATTTTTTAAAAATGAAATACAAAGGGTTTTTTTCTTTTTTGTTTTTAAATATCCGGTTTTTTTTTGGTATTTTTTTTGGGGGGGTTAAATTTTTTTCCCTTAAAATTTTTCTTTTAAAGGGAAAAGTGGGGAAAAAAGGGTAAAAAAGGGTTTTAATTATTAACCCCCAAAAAATTTAATTTCCCAAAATTTAGAATTTTAAAATTTCATTATGTATTTGTTTTTGTGACACATGTAGTCATAATACATGATATAAAGTTAGGACCCAGTGGAGATTAACAAAATCTGCAGATTCCATTTTTACCATAAGAACATAAACTAAATGACGGCTGCTTTTAAAATTGGAAAAATAGATCAATTTTTACGTTTCACCCAAATTCATTTTAAGTTTTTCATTGCAACAATAGTAAATGTTTTTGAAAACTTAGACAAAGGGAAATTAGATGATATTTAAATTTATGCATTTTTAAAGTACAGTCCAAACAAATACCTGACATACATGATGAAGGGAAAGCTACAAATGTTTGGCTCCATTCATATTGGTAAAATGATTCATAGAATATAACTCACCGCACGCGCCAAACACCACGCGCACGCATACACACAATTCGATCCGCACACACACTTATAGTTTTAAAAGGGAAAACAAATAGATTTAATAACATTGGGTTTAACAGCAACGTTTTTAAGTGAAAAAGTTACCAATATGTGCTCCATTCCAATATGGTTCATTAGCGTCGCTTATATATATGTAGTGTATCCGAAACGCTAAACTTCGAAGTAAGTATTGGACATAATTCATTTCTTTTCTTGATGCAATTGTCACAAGATGTTCATTGCCATTATGGCAATGACGGTTTGCACCATCCCAGGTTTCCTCGTCATAGAATACCGTGTAGCATTTTCGGAAAACCATTGAACAAGCTTAAATTTGAAAAAAAAAATCATGTTCAACTAAACAATAATTTAATTGAACTTTTATGCAATATTTAATAGCAGATTTTTCTCTTCATTGTTATACGGATGACATCGTTTTGTAAAGAAATAAATGTTTTAATCATTTTGATCAATTTTAAATTTTAACTATTCTTTTAACCGCGAAAAAATGAAATTCCTTCACATCAGATATTTGCCATGTACATAACTATCTGTCGTCAAAAAAGTAAGAAGATTTCGGTTAAAAACCGATAAATAAGCATGTTTTGTATAGATAAAAACAAATCATCTATAAACAAGTATATTTAATTTATCTTACATACCTGATAAGTTTTTCTCATCCACTAAAGTATATGTAGAATATCTTTGAAGAGAATGGTTCGACATTTTATAATGTATCCTAAATCCGTAAGGGAGGCTGTTATTTTGTATTTGAATATCAATCTCAGTCCATTTTGATTTGTATTTCTTGTAATACTCTACGTTTTCACAGTTTAATTTGATCTTACGATCAACATCCGTGATGACGAGGTCTAATGGATAATCTGCAAGAATGTAATAACAGATGCTTTGTTGTACGGGACAGATTACTCAGAAAATTATCACGAATAATGAGAAAAATGACTAGTGCTGCAAATGGCAAAAATATTTTGCAAGTATGCTAATGAAATTACGGTGAGTGTTGGCTTGAATTGAAAACAATATAAAGGTTCTTAGCTTGCAGTTTATTGTGTTATTTTAATAACTATGGCAGAATTTCTTTAATCTGCGAATGACGAAATAACGACAAATAACTATTGTATTCGAAATACCAGTGATCATACATATCAACCTCACGAGTTTCCGATTACATCTTCGTGATTTCACAATTCTTACTTTTACGATTTCACAATTTCAACTTCACAGATTGGTTTATACGTCACAGATTCATGATTTAAATTTCATCAATTTATATTTAGACATCACGATTCCACTTTTATTAATTTCTCTTATTTGGCTTATCATTTTAAAATATTATAAAGATGAAAAATACGAAATTACATGATTCACCGTAAACGGAAAATAGGAGAGAGTACATGTACTATCTCATCGTCAACCGCAAATGTTAATTTATCGCTGTATAGCCAAAATTATGATAGAATTTACTTCGAACAGTAGAGTACTAAAATATGACAAACAAGATCTACATGGAAAGGTGGCGTTCAATGAATGCAACTAAAGACATGATATATGATTGTAATTGTAAATACATGAGTGTAAAACATATCGAATATGTGCTAAATGCAAACCGAGCGGTATAAAAGAATAAAGTTCAATATACATTTTCGGTTTGTGTCTATATGCTACAGACTATGTGGATATATGGATGTTTTACATGCTTTCTGCACTGACAATCAATTTGCAATTTACGTGTTAATACATCCCTGAAATATTACATTGAGTTAAAGCTTTCCTTTCTTTATGTCATTTTGTAAAATGTCTGACTTATGTTAGATTATACTTTTTCTTTCCTTTTATAGCAAATAGGCAATTGAAAAGTAAATATTCATTTGTTATTTAAATACATGTGTATACTGAATTCGTATTTGAAAGAATACGGAATTTCGAATTTTAGATATATACGGACTTGTTATAAAAATTCCGTATAGATGTAAAATACGGACTTCGTACATCAAAGTCCCCGTTTATTACGAGTGAACGGATTACCGTATACGGAATTTCGTACACTTCCCTATATCCATATATTTTTCGCAGTGTTAATTGCCATAAAAATACCAAAATCCACCTAGCCTATATTGTCAAGAATTGCCTCTGACTTAGGCATAATTAGACGTTTGCACACTGAATTATAAATCTTCGAATCATTCCCTTTTTACTTGTAAAATTTAAGTTGATACTTATCATATTTATTTTTGTACATTGCAGATGTTCTTTCTAAAATGACTTTTAAATATGAGTGGGCAACAGTCGACTGAAAAATGCATTACGGTAATAAAAGAAATTGCGAATAATTAAACCCTTAGCTTTTGTTCCCTGTCCAAATTTGGTTTCCGACATTAGAATAAGTCTGGGTAATTGACATGTAATTCATCACGTTAATAAAAAACGATAAAAATATAAAAGAATATAGTATTCAAATATAGCTGTATCAGTTAAATTAAACGTTATTTCAATTCTTAAAAGTTCAATGACATATTTAACATCAGAAAAGCTATTTTATAGAAGAATCTGTAAACATTGCAATTTTGTTACAAAAAAAAAAAAAAAATAACCAAAGTAAGAATAAAATTTTCCCCATTGCTGAATAGACGAAATCGTTTCTACGTGCACGTGGCGGGTATACCTCAAGGAATCCGTCAAATGACATTATATAAGCTCGAGTTTATTTTTTCTAGAATTAAAAGTTATCAGAAGTTGTTAAAGATTTGAATATACTTACCTTCATAATCTGCACAATTTGGTTCGAAAGATATGACGGTTAGATCAATGCTTTGATGTTCCCCGGCTAGAATTGTGAATACTTCTTCACAATGCTGACAAAGATTCAAAGCCGAAAGAAACGTAAGGATCATGGTTGGCTCAGTGCAAGTTTCCTTTCGTATTTTAGTTCTTCTAGATTGTCTTAGTGAATCGATTGAAAGACAGGCTGGGGTTTCTTAAGGAAATATGTATGCTATGTAGTCTTAATGACAATATAAATAATAAAACTATGACATCGGCATGATAAACTGTGTATAATTAAATTGATTATAATAGTACACAACACTAGTTAGAATTGTATCTTGAGCACAACTAGTTATAAGAAAGGTTATCGTCAGAGCTGCATCAGTACTAAGGGTGTAGTACTTAAGTACCAGTACCAGTATTTGGCAAATTATGCAGTACCATTACCAGTACCAGTACTAGATTTTAGCTCGGTACTGCAGTACCAGTACTTTTTTTGGTGAAGTAATTAAGTATCAGTACCATTACTTTTATATATTCATCAAAGTTTGAATAAATACAGTGTCAAACAAATAATTGCAAATATTATTCAGCAAAGAAATAAAATCATAATTTACTTTAAAGCTGCATGCATCCAGATGACCAAAAATATTTCAAGAAAATTAAACTTGGAAAAAAATTACTAAAACTTTGAGAAAAGTAAACAAATTAAAGATTCAAGTGATAATTTATATCTTGTGTGCAATTAATGACTGTATTTTGTAGTATTTATCACCATATTTCTACTGTGTTACTAACGCAGTAGGGGCTATTTATGCATGTTTTGACCTCTTTTTGGTAATTTACGTGGATTTTAAGTGCCGATTGTAATGTGTCAAGTACTTTCTTTGTTCATTTAACAATATTTTACCTTTAAATACATTTTCAAAATTTTCATGAAAATTAGGATGAATCTGGAGGCGTGCTGCTTTAAAGTTAACATAACATATTTACAACTTTATAGTTTGAACATACTTTTTACAAACAATATTTACAACATATATTCATGTCATATCTAATTGCTTAGTAACCAGTCAACTGTATAAATACAATGAAAACATCTTTCATTTAAAACACAACAGTCTTTTGTTGCCTTTCACACCTTCACACCTCTGTTAAATTTATACCAAAGTAAATAACAACTTTTTATGGTGCTAACAATATCACTTTTTTCACTAGAAATGGGATTTTTTAGAATAGAAGAAATTAATTAGTGTTTATTTTGCTCTTTTACTAGTAAATACAAAGTAATAAAATATTTTAATAAGGATATTTTACTGGGTAAAGAGTTATTGAGTCTGTTTATCTTAATTTAATTTTTACTTAAAGTCTTTGGTGCTTTTTATGATGAATACTATGTTAACATTTGAAGAAATATTGCAGCAAATTATCTTTAGATTTGATAACTTACTTTTTCACAAAAATAAAATATAGTTAATGTAATTTACAGCTTTATTTTATGAGAAAAATTGATGTTATTTTTAATTTTTATCAAAACCAAAAGTACTGGGTAATGCAGTAGCAGTACCACTTTTTAAGACAGTAATGCAGTACCAGTACCAGTAGTAGCAAAATTTTGTAAGAGTAATTCAGTATCAGTACCAGTACTTGCAAAATCGCTGCAGTACGTACTGCAGTACCAGTACCAGTACCAGTAATGCAGCTCTGGTTATCGTCAGTAATAGATTAAACACAAGAAAATCGGTAAACATGTAATATTTATAAGGTTTTCGTTTTTGTACAATATGTACAAATATTTTGAAAAACAACAACTAACATCTATGATTAAATGACTTGAAAACGGGCAAACCCGCCATATTTTATTTGGTAGATACACAAATAGGAAACAAACATTATAGTTCGAAAAGACGTAACAAACATTAAATTATTTATGGAACACCTTTTTCTTATAGAAGCATACATATGGTGTTCAACTGTGTTCATAACGGCTTAATGAAGCCATGCTTTGCCCGAAACGCATTCAATAAGATGTAGCAAATCAAACAAACTAAACGCAATTTACAAAAGGTGTAGAAATGACGTTTTTTTTAAGAATCTATTCTAACTCTAGAAATGCAAGATGGTACTTGAAAAGGCCCAATCGGTAGCATGCCTAACATTTTACACCTTATTTCTAGATTTAAAAAATATGCCATAATACTTGTTGTACTTTGTGCTGTATAAACGAGATAAAAAATTGAAATATAAAAATTTGAAAAATAAACCTTGCAAAAAGTGTTAAAAGATAACAAAACTGCAAGGTTGCCATGTTGAATTACAATAAAAAATGAAATCAAAATATTTAATGTTATATACAATAATATTAATGTATACCTTCAGCAGTAATGATTGCCCGGAATTTTATTACTGGCGGCCATACTGTTTTCAGAATGGTTGTTAAAAACAGCAAGCTTGTGTTTGTTTCTATTACGAATATTTCGTCGTTGAAATCGTCATCAATGATAAATTCTTTGTTGTCTATGTGCGATGTTTTAACAACGAGTGCACACTGCGAGAATATACAATGTCATATAAAAATAAAAATTCTGAAACAAAGTGACCTATCAACTATCTGTTGGAACTTGGTATGGTAAACATTTTTGACGAAAGTGAAGATTAGAAAAACGTGTCAATGTTTTTAATTTCAAAGGTAATCATGGTAAGATATGGTAACGGATAAAAGTTTAATCTTATGAAGGCTAAAAATAAAATCATAAAATATCATTTGAAAAAAAAACGAAGTGAAATTTTTTTTAGAAATTATAAGAAATTAGTTATACTGTATTTCACAATTAAACACATGCTCTTCCGTCCGTATAGATTCTTGCTCTTCATCTCTGAATTCGTCAATCAACAGTTTATAATTGAACCTCTTGACTATTTGAGGCAATTTTTCCTTCTCCTTTGAACAAGGAAACTCGTAACAGCAGGATCTTATTGACTTTAATATTTTCGTATGCATCAAAAAAAAAAAACCAAAAAAAAAACAATTATTAAATTAAGAAAGCTCCTCTAGGTTTGTGTAGTTAGATTACTGATGAATACACCAGTCCGTAAAATAAAATATTCTCAGCAAATGTTGAACAATTCTGTGAAATAAATGTCTATAAATAAGAAGTATGATCTATGTGTCAACCTAATACGGAATGGACTTAAAATTCAGTGGAGGAAAAGACTAAAATATAATGTCTATCGCAAAAGATACAGGCAAACAATAGAAAGCTGTAAATGACCTACGTACATAAATCATGAACTAAAACCAACTTATGAAAAAAGATTTACAAATGTCAACTTCATTCAACCCTATAATTAAACTATTTGTAGTTCAAATTAAACAAAATATTTGAAAGCACTAGAGTAATTTGAGTTATTGAAAAAATATTATTATGTTTTCCAGAGATCACATTCATTCAGTACAAATATGACAGTTTGATTCATCAACAAATACAATGGAAATAATTGTATCTATCCATATGTTAGCAAAATAACCATAACAGTGTTCAAATTCATCATCACGCACAACCTACTCCAAACCCATGGCTATGAAAAACAAATAAAACTATAACAAATACAAGTATCAAAAACATATAAATCTACTAAGAGGCGTCCTTAATACCTCCTTAGTAGCATAACCTGCAAGACAGGTCAGTATCAGCTTGCAAGAATGAGTCTTTCGTGTAAAACTGTGTGTCTCAGGCAAAAATCTTAAGCATATAAATCATTTAATACGTCTGCCATGTAAACATAAAAATACAATAAAACAGCTGTAAAGCAACTTAACAACTGTAGCACGAATAAATACAATAGAACAATCCCATTAACAGGCTTCTTTATAACCTCCGGAGCAAATCACTTTTAATACTGGCCATTACCAACTTGCAAGATTAAGCCTTTCCTGAGAAACCAAATATCTAAAGGAAAGACATAATGACAGTCACCAAATTTCAACAGAAACACGAACAATTTGACGATTCTAATAATAAAGATTTCAACTTACATGCAAACTAAAGATTTCAATATACATGAAATTTCTAGCTTCTAGACAATATGCATCGTTCCCACACTAATTACTTTAAGTGTGCAATAGTGTTTATGATAAAATGCTTTCTTCAAGATTAAGCTGTAAACCACCATCCTTTTTGCACAATACTCACGATGTGGAATGCCAGAACTAAGAAAAGACTTGGAAGTTCTAATAAAATATTTATTTCTAGATTTTCATAATAGTATTTATTAATTGTTTAACTAATTAATTTCTTAACTCTGTTGTCGGTTGAATCAAAATCTATAGGAGACGGAATAATAGCAGACAAAATTATGCTAGCAGAAGATTGGTACTGATCATTTGAAGTTATTATCAGCCGGAATATTGTCATCCATTAAACGACGCCAAGGTACATCATTGTTACACAAACATGTTATATGATAGAAACAGATCTAAGATCCACTTGAACTTGAGAAATTTTAGACCTAAGCCTTAAAATATTATTTTCTGGAGAGGCTGTAATTTGAGTACTCCATATCCCTGAAACAGTTTGGCTATAAATGTACACTTTCCTTCCTCAAGTGTAGAAGAAACCACATTTAATTTGCGTGCTAGTAGAAAACAAAAGCAAGAGCATTTGCCTGACTGGGGCAATGGTCAATATTTTGTTTACTTTTTCTAAAAGCAAACAAATAAACGTTTGTACAAATCTTTCAAAAAATAAAAAAAAAATGTTTTTTGTACACAGTTTAAACTTAATAAAAAATAAGTTGAGTTCAATAACTTCTTAAGACCACTTAGTTTTCAAAAGGTCAAGTTGCTGGTGGAAATATTAATCACCTTTTGTGATTTAGATCTAGTTATCATAATAAATGTTGCAGTTCTTGTTCTAGTAAGTATATCGTTACATGTACTCGTTTTCTTCAAGTGCAGAACATATTCCCAGAGTTCAAAATCCCGATCATTTACTTTCAGTCTAAGATTTAATAAGCTCATATATTAAGATTGGATTTTATTAAGGAGATCTATTTCTCTCTATTTTATCAATTTTCACAAATTTTGTTTCAGTAGTAATAATAAATTGTATTAGCTAGTTACATATAAAAATAAATAAAAATCAATAAATTTTATTCAAGGCAAGGCCATTAATGAGTGACGGTCATGGTCTGTCTGATTAACTTAAAGGCCTAAATGATTATCATATTCAAATGTGAAGAAATCCAATTAAATAACATGAGCAATTCATAGGCGTGGCAATATATGCCCGAATGCAAATTTGTTTAACATTGAGAATACTCATTTATAACATTTGTTCAGAACATGTTTTATTTCAATTATTACTAATAAGATCTATATTGATACATGCCAAAGAGCTATGCTCTTGTCACATGAATACTTAGTGACAATTATATATGTCACAGCTTTCCGTTGTGGAGTACAGACTCCAGACATGCCACCAGTTATGCCCTTAGAAAGCTTATTTTGAGGCAGAGTGGTGATTATTTATCTCCATGCAATTGTCAAGGAGTATATATACTGACTGAAAACAACAATATTGTTGGTTTTTAAATGATAAAAATTCAAAATAACATATGAAAAGTATTATACCAGTAATTCAATGGCACAAACAATTATGCCCTTAAAATCATAAAAATAAAAATGCTATGCTTACAAATAGGTTTGTCTTCTTCTTTTTTTACCTCCCTTTACATTTATAACAACGATTCACAAACATCTATCACAAAACTGATAATAACTACTTTTACAAAGTGATGATACATGCTAAAAATGTATGCTCTGCATGTTGTATGTTGGAGAAAAAGACTTTTAAAACATGTAAACTATATAATTCTGTGTACATATAAACTGTGTCAGATCTACCCATCCCCCACCTACCCACTGGGCACAGCCAATTTGTAATGTCAGTGAACTGATTTTTAGAAAAATATCAGGGTTCTTATGCAAAATAACTGAGATCTGGGATTTGTACCTTTAAATAAAAATACATAATATATAAATAAGTTTTTCTAAAAGCGTGACCCCTCGGGCAGGACCAATATTGACCCCAGGAGCATGATTTATATAAATTTTGTAGAAGTCAACATGGGATGCGTCATGCAAAATATCTAAGCGTAACATAAATATAATATTTGGGCATATGAAAATGGATTGTTATGACCTTCTTTGAATTAAAGCTTTTAAAATTCAGGAATTTTCAAAAATGCAGTGGGCTAAACTTATTAATTTGGTTTTTCTTGCTATGAACATATATCAGTCTTTCAATTAGAGATAGACTGCCCACAATATAGCAAAACAGTATTCATGTCCAAAGTTTTGATAAAATAACTAAACAAATTGACATTTTATATGCTTCATATACAGCTTATTGTTATTTAGTCAATTTAAATATCTTAAGTAACATCAGTTTCAATTAATAAGATTGTCTCATTTACAAATAATTAAATCATATAAACCTATAAAATCTCCAATTTATTATAGTCTTAACAGGAAAAAATATTAATACAAAAACAACAACAAAACAAATATATAAAGTAATAGATTTTGGTAATTAAAGGAAGGTTAAATAATATATATATATCAAAATCTAAAAATACAACGTTTGATAAAAAAACATTATAAAGCAATAGATTTTTGAAAATAAAGGAAGGTAAATATATATTGGTAGGAAACATATTAATAAATTCATACATTGTAATCTCAAAAATTGGCATTATCATTTGGTGATGATACAAATATAATATTTAACTGTATACCAAAGCAACATGTTTAATAACTTAAGAATCTAAATTATTTCCATATTGATTTTGTCTTTAATCTTAAAGAAATAGATCCACACACATTTTTAAATTTCATTTTAGTTGATAATATCTATCCTCAAGTCAATTCAGGATTACTGACAAGAGTTTGAACACTCTGGATGTTGTTTTATAACCAACATGTTGCACAGATACGCTGTGATAATCTAGCAATATTCTTAATAACTTATATATAAGGAGATTTCTGCTGAGATTTATTTCTTAGAAATTAACTACAGAACCACATTCTTTCTTCAGTATCAGAATCCTTTAATCTTTTTTTTTTGTCAAACAGTTATATTACATTTTGGTTTACATGACTAGCATGGCTAGATAAAACTACTGTTTCAGCATATTGATATGAATCTCCCAATTAGAGATGATCTAATTCAATCTCCCCTTTGCACAGCTACATAAAAAACTCTTAAAACAATAAAGTACATTTAGTAAGCAAACAATTATACATTAATTGTTTTATTGATTCAAGTCTAGCCGTACGTTCAGAAGCATGGATGGAGGGGGGCGAAATAATTTCTAATTTTCTCGCAGCAAATAAAGTTCATTCTTATTTGTCAAATGTAACTGAACCAAATAAATATCATACTCAGAATCGCCTGACGAAATAGAACAACCAAGACACCTTATTAAAACATTTTTGGTACATTTATCAAGCGATTTCTTATTGAAGGAGTATGAATAAGACAAGGAAAAAATACCTTAACCAATTTTAATTACACCTAGCTTAACTGATTTGTCTTTAAGCTTTACTTCAATTCCTTTTTAATTACAGACAAGCAGGATCTTTTGATTATAGTCAATAGTATATAAAACAATATATTATTTCTACTACACTCAGAGGCACTTAAAACCATAACCCAACAATTTCTTTTTTTCGGTATAAATTAATTATTTGTGCACGGATTTTGTTCAACTTTGGACCAAAAACTATTCAACATAGTATACGTATTACTTAGAATTTTATTTTCAACTCATTGACAAAAGTAGAAAAAATAACAGAACAAACAGGCTACTGTAAAATGAAAAATCACAAAATGACTGAAAATATTAATGAGTTGTAAACATAATTCTAAGTAGTAAATATGATTTATTGAAATGTGTATAGTCCAAATTTAAAAAGCATCTGTCCACAAATAATGTATTTAAACTGAAAAATGTAAGTGTCGGGTTATAAGTGCTTCTGAGTGAATACATTCGGACGTAGCCTCCATAGTCCTATATTTTGTGTTGAATAGTACACTAAAGAAAGTCATTACTTCTGAAGCAGGTCAAGATTTATCAACAGGTTTATTATAGCAACAATCATTTAAGACTCAATCTAAATAATTATATATGCAAAATGAGTATTAAGGTTTATTTCTGCCTCTGCTAAATCATCAAGATAATTGAGTAAAATAAACAACAATTTAAAACTTAATAAAAATATACTGCATTTGTAACTCTTTGACATATCTATGAGACTGACCTACGCCCCGTACTTAAAATAATATCTAAAAAAAATTTTTCCAACAAAATAGCACATATTGTAATTGATTATAATTCACTAAGTGAACACAATCCTGAATTCGAGGAAAAACTAAATCATCAGGTTCAATTAAATAAAAATCGTAAGCAAAATAGATCATTCACTGCGTGACCTTTGGGCATACTCAAATCTAGAATTATCCTTCTTACATCAGTATCTTTTTATGAAAATAGAATATTGACTCGGAAGTAAAGGGATTTTTTCAAAAGGACCTAGAATACAAAAAGCAGCATTTTTTTTACAAAATATCTATAAAACTCATTTGGATAATCATAAGCTCCAGAATGATTATTATATTTCCAAAAATATAGGTGAACAGAATGAAAACCTTTACAACAATACCAATAGGTAAACCTTTTTTTCAGAAGATCACAAGCTATCAAAGCCTTTTAGTCTGAACCTAACATGCGTCTCAAAACATTATTAAAGTATTATCATTAGCCTGTACTCCAGAATGATTATTATATTTCCAAAAATCAAGGGTGAACAGAATGAAAATTGTTACAACAATACCAATAGGAAAACTATTTTTCAAAAGATCACTAGCTATCAAATCCCTATATAATAAACCTAACATGCGTCTCAAAACATCAGTTTTTTCTGCAACCTTGATAATTTTAAAGACAGGATTGACATACCTTTTCATGATAAACTTCATCAAAAATAGACGTTATATTTTTTTTGAAGTTACAAATGTTACATTAAACTGAATGCCTACAAACAACATGTTCAATAACTGAATAATCAAAAGCATTAACATACTGATTTTTCTTTTGTTCTAATGATCCACAATATTTTAATCAATGTTAACATTTTTTTTATTTAATCCATCATAAAGTGAAGTGAGGAATACGGACATGAGCTTGGACACTCAGGACTATAATACACCATGTTGCACAGATATGCTATGATAATCAAGCAATGTCCTTAATAACATAAATATAAGGGGATTATGCTGATATTTATTTATAAAAAATGACTAGAGAATCAAATTATTTTGATTTCAGTATCTGATCTTCTCTTTTCAGCTTTAGATTTTTTGCCCAACATTTATTCCTTTTTTGTTAACATGACTAGATAAATATTGCTGTTTCAACATATTTATATGAATCTCCAAATTTGAGATGACCTACTTAAATCTCAAGTAATGCAGCTGCATACAAACTAAATAACAACAAAGTCAAAGAATTATTCATTAATTTCTTTATTATTTAAGTCTAAACGAACAATTAGAAGCATGAATGGGTGGGGGAGCGAAATAATTTCCAATTTCCCAGCTACATATAAATCATATTCTAATTTGCCAAATGTAACCGAACCAGTAAGGTAACGTACTGAGAAACGTCTAAAGAACAAGAATTAACAAACACCTTTTTTTAAAAAAAACATTTTTGGTACATGTATCAAGTATTCGTTACCACAGGAGACTGCATCAGACCAGGAAAACTATTTAAACCAATTTTGATAAATTATCTAGTTGACGTCAACTTCATTCAACCTTGTAAATGAGCTATTTTCATTTGGAAATAACATAATAAATCAATAAAATTGACCAGTCTTAAGAATTTCAGTTACATATTACAACAAACGAATTTTTCCATTCAAATCATTAACTTTAAAACAGAAACGTGTTAGTGTTTCCATTTTGCACTTAATTTTAGGGTTAAGTTATAGTGATTATACGCGAAAAGACAGGAGAGCTGTAGTGCTCTTACGTGCCTTAGTTTAATTGAAATAAAAAAATCAATAACAAATATATGTCTAAGGCTAACATGTATAAGAATATTCATAATGTAGTTTGCGCCGCCATTTTGAAAATCTTAGACTGGTTTTATATTTGAGCAATATTAGATTTTATTAGGTTTTGAAGGAATCATTTAAAAAAGGCGACTGCTGATAGCAAACGCAACGGTTTATTGTCCTAGATAAAAAACTCAAGTATGATGCAGTAAATATATATGATAACCTTTGGTAAGAACTGAGGAAACGATTATTAACATTAAAAGATACTTATTAATATTCAGTTTGATAAAGACCATTAAAAAACGTAAAAACATTACCTCTGATTTGAGATTAACAAAGTGGCTGACGAGATATTTGGAAACACTCAAATACTTTGATGATAGGCTGAACACCATTTATTCATTCGTGCCTTATTAACTGTAAAAAATAGCTACATGTACTCATCTTTTACAAAGTCTAGGGATCTTGCTTATTAATAAAAAAATTGCTTGCGAGGGCTTACTGTGTCAAAGATAGCACCTTATTTTGTATAATGAATGCATGCATACCTCTGATAAAGAGACGTTTGTGAAAAAACCAATTGGCATATTGATTTGGGTTTTAAGTTTACAATCCAAATTAGATGACTGTTTCCAAAAAAGGGGCCCCCTGAATGGGTAACTTAGGGACGTAATTGAATGGAGTCTATTTTCTTACGTATTGTATGACCCCCAAAGGGAACAATTTCCATCTTTGCGTTTAGCTCTCGGGAATGACATTTCATTATTCCTTGTGTAAAATATAAAAACATAGCCTTAAAAATAAGTTTATATGGAGGGGTCATATGCCTGATTGAAAGTAGGATTTTCTTTTCAATTTTTGACTTGCATTAATAAAAGAACAATCTTTAAGACAAGTTTTAAGCAAAGCATAAAGGTCCAATGGGGTATTACATTTAAAAAAGTTGAATTAAGTTTTATTATTTGTCTTTATAACCTATAATGGAAAGAAGCCGGAATCAAGCAATCGAAGGAAAAGTAAAAATTGCCCACAACTTGAACAAAATTTCTTACATTGTGAACTATTTTAATCCAGAATTTCATACAGTATATTCTGATCAATCCAAATAGTTATACAGTATATTTTTAAAATAAATAAAACGTAGATTACATTTATACTAAACTTACTTCAATAATGGGAAGAAGTTGTTAGGAAACATTTATTCAAATTGTGTTCACAACTTTTTCATTTATAAGGCTCATGTTGAAATCATTAATTAAGATCTAAAATATGCAAAAATCAATTCTGATACCACTGTAGCTGTCATACAGTTCTGGTACTTATAACACTGATATTTCATGCTGAATTACCTAGGTCACACCTGTATTTTACAAGAAGCTATGCTCTTATACTTATATCTCACAAGCGTATGAAAAAATACCTGTACTGTTGAAAAAAGACTTTATTACGAAATGTTAACATACCAATGTTTTGTAGTTTGGCGAAACATTGTCCATCATCAATAATCTTCTTACTTTTCCATAATCCAAAAGGACTATACATGTAGTGATTACACATTCCGACTAGTTTGATTGATCCATTTGGTCCATGATGTTCGTTATCCTCTTCCATAGTTTTGTTAGACAAAGTTTTAAAACTGGCAACACTACAACTTTTCTGAATACTACAAAGTTCGATACATCTTGTAAGATTCGTATTCAAGACAGTTGAATCTCCAGATAACAATTCATATTCGAGAGGTAGCATTTCAGATGATTCGATGCTGCTGATGTCAGTTATACCTGTTGAATGAGAGATAATATATATCATAACAAATATATTAATAATTCAAAGAATTTCTTTACTCGCACTTTGTTACAATCTATCAATGGTTAATACGAAACAAACATACATTCCTTAATTGTTAACTTACGTGTCAGTTTACAGCCAAACAACTTGAAATTTAAACATCTTGATTTGCTTGTTGGCTTTTCAAATGAATGTTTGAACTTTGCGTATCTTCCATTGATTGGTCTCGGCAGAATGAACACTTGATTTCTTTTCCAAAAGCTTTCAGGTGGGAATATTCTAAATTCCTGAAATAATGAATCACCAATACACGTGTTTCTACATTTATTTTGTTTCATTCTTTGAGTTAATTGTACGTATCAACGTCCTTTTTGAAACGGCTTGGTTTTAATAATGCAATATTTCTGATTCATTAAGTTTAAAACCAGTCTATAAATATATATACCAAGATAAACCATCAGAACTGCAATAAGAATTTCTTTAACTTTATAAGTAGGGTAAAATAAATAAAGGGTGTGTTGTAATGTACACATGTATTACATCCAAACAAAAGAACAAAGGACACAATCGCTTGAATTGAAGTAACCTTACTATTGTTATCTAACAATGCAAACGTCAAGCAATTGATGTAACATTACATACTACATAATACTGCAAATAAGTGCAAGTTATCTTTCCTGTGTTGTATCCAGTAAGGACTATTTCTGCATATTCTGATCTAATTCTTGGAATTTTTCGTAGATTTTAAGTGCTGTTTTCTATGTGTAAAATGCTTCCTTTGTACATTTGACATTAAGTTTCTTAAAAAAAAAACATTTTTAGCTTCATGAAAGTTACTATGAATCGGGTGGCATGCTGCTTTAAAATGTATACTTATGTTTTGTTGTTTTGTTTTTGTTTTTTAGATATTTTTACACAAACGAGTATACCATGTCTTTGTATGCCTGTAATGTATCCTTATTGTTGCCGAAATAAAAACTGGGAAAGTGGTCCACATGTTCACAGGTCTTTCGAAACGTTTAAATTACCAACTCCTTCTTATTGTTTGTAACATCAATTAAATCCACCTAAATTGAAAAAATTTCATTTGTACTTAAATTGTTGAAAAGCTTGTCTGAATTACTCTTTAATTTACAAATACGGTATCTTGAAACAATACGGATTGTACTCACATTTTTTTTGCAGAAGAATGGATGCAAATACATCAGAAAAATACCAAATTGTTCAAAACACATTACCCTTCGTGCTTAACACACTTTAGACCAACTGAACCAAAAAGCGACCAACCCTTTATTGTACTTCGAGCTATGAAGAGTGTGCATTCAACCGTTTAACAATGTTTATTTAAATTATTGTCTTACCGTTGGTATAAAATGATACTGCGATGAACAAATGTTAAAAATGTTTTCCAAGTTTGTTTAAATAGTTTTGTGACGGGTTTTTAAATGCTCATACACGCTTCATTATGAAATAGAATCAATTTAAAATTATTAAAAATTTTAGAAATTTTTTAACACTGGAACAGATTCTTAAATTTTTCTAAAAAAAGAGACATTTGCATATTTCCTCCCAAATCATTCCTTTATCATTCAAAACCCGGAATGATATTTTATTTATATAGTTAATTAAGTTTTGTAAATAGTTTTAAAGTAAAACCCAAAATTATTCAATTTAAAAAGAAAGAATACCAAAAATGCCAAGCCCAATTCTTGGATTAACCTATTATTCATATGGTTCAAAATAAAATAAAGAAATACTCAGAAAAAGTTAAGAAAAAACTTGACAAAACAAACTTTTGGGCTTTTTAATTTTTACTTTTAAAGTTAAAAAACAAAAATAAAGAAAAATCTTTTTTTTTTTTATTCAAGGGGGAAAGTTGGGGAAAAAGGTTTTTTTTCAATGGCTTCCAAATTGAAAATTTGAAAATGTGTTTATACTTACATGCAAAAAAAATACTCTTTGAAAATACTCGTTAAAGTATTGATCAATGTATTATCGTTTTTCTTTTATGAGAGAATACATCTTTACATTAATTATACAAACCAAAATCCAAGGTTTAAGATCTGTAGCATCATGAATCCAACCAGTAAAAATAGTGTTTGTATTTGTAGGTATTTGGTCTGTGGTTCCAGAAGAAACAGTGATCTGAGTGTTTGGTACCTGTTTGTCGTCTATTTCAATACTTTCAAAACATGGCTCACCATTTTCTACACACAAAGCATCAGAAGTCTTACACAAACAAATGCAAATTCAAACATACCGTAAAAAGGTTTGCAACGGGTAAAATAATGATTTGTAATGTATAATTAATGAACGATCATTAAAAATCGAGTATTGATTGCAAAATGACATTCAAGTGATATATTCAGATTCCATAATAACGCCGGAGTTCCATATTATACTAGAAGTAAACAGTATTCTTTGAGGTTTCTAAGTCTTAGAATATCATATTGCCAAAAGGCTTTTCAATCAGTAATTGGAAGATGTAAAAGAAAACAAATAACTCATCGGCGGCTTTGCCACACCAGACTGGCAATGTAAGAAATGCTGACTACACGGGTCAAATGTCGCAAGTGGCAAGTCGTTGTGGCTGTTAGCAAGAAACTTAACACTCATTGTTAAGTACTGGTTTGTTCCAGGAACGGATTCCAGATTGTTTCAATACGATTATAGCTTCCAAAATGATCGAACTAAACTAGACTGAATTTCGTAAAACTAAAATAAACTTAATAATAGTTTATTCCCATATAAGAATATTCAAATATTAGAAATAATCTCAACAAGTCACCAAGTTTATGGATATTTTGCTATTTTTTAGTTAACATGTTAAAATACTAATTTCTATCGAATTTGTAGAAATTATAATTGGTGAATTATTTTGTATTTTTCAGAGTTTATTCTTTTAAGCTTCGTGGAGTTTACTTACGTGCTTCTATACTCGATACGTACACCTGAAATGACATGTTTCCTGTTATGTCTGCCTTCAATCCAAATGTAAAAAAGCGACCTCGTGTTCTCCTGCAATTTAATAGTTCTATTTACATTTACGTTCATTATCCAAAGAATACAAAGATAAAATAGAAGAATATAGTTAAGAAGCGTATTTTAAATATATTTAAGAGAGATTACGATCCCTAAATAAAAAAAGAACAAAACACTTTGTCAGGTAAATCAAAATAGTTAAAAAGTGTATTTTAAAGATATTTAAAGGGGTCTTACTATTTCTTATTCAAAGATATGTAAACAATAGAGAATTTGTTGACTCTTACATCCGTTCATACCTAGGCTACAATTGCTTCATATATATTGCGAGACTGCTCTGTGGTTTTAATATATGGAGCTGTGGTTTAAAAGTTGATGATGTCATTTTAGTTAATGGGGTTGTCATTTTGATATATGTCATATCTTAAGTATATCTGATAACATGCCAACACACTACTATGGAAAATATGCCATCTTCCTTTATCAAGTATATGAACACTTTGATTTATTTCACAAGGAAAAGCATCGCACAATGAAGTTTTTATACAGCAGCAATTAGGCTTGCGACGAAAAACATGCGTATGAAACTTGTCATATTTGAACTGTGATTTCTCAAATATCAGTTGGCGGAAACCACAATTTCAACATGACTCCTGACTTTGTCCTTTAACACAAAGAAAACGTTACCAGTGTTGAGCTGCCAAATAGAATAGATTGTGGATTACATGTTAATAGGGCTGTTCTTTTATGCCAATAGGACGGTTAGACGGAGCATTGATAATTTCTGTTCTTATAATGACGCCAAAACTACACCAAACATACAATAAAGCGACAGGTTTTATCCATATCAGCTGAATTATTTGATATTAGAAAAATCTATGGCAATTCACAAGCTGAGAATTGATGTCAGTCTAAGTATACAACTCATTTATAACGGTGCCATAATGACGTATTTTCAAGTGACATGGGTGGAGAATTAATAGAAATTTATCGTTCACCTAATACAAATCAAAACAATCAGGTATGATACGTATGTTTGAATTGTTGAAATTAGTACAGCACAATTCGAATATCGGCAGCGGAAATAATATCCGCTTAAAATATTGTAAATGATATCGCTCTTATCGAAATTATTTCGTCTGACCGGTTAACACCTAAATGTTGTTTTGATGCATTCAGCCTTCGCGGTTAATTCAAACGCATCAATACTCTAAAAATTGAAACAATATTGTTTCTTAGATGAAACATTTGATACTATTATAGTCATTATACTATTATAGTCATAATATCAAATACATCATTAATTACACTATGGTAATCATGCATGCTGTATTCATTACTGTAATACAGTAGATATATCAGAGACAAAACATTGACATTTTCCACACTTTTTCCCGGGACATTATTCTTTTTAACGAAATATTAATTCGTAATTACGATACATAAATTCATTTTTAAGAAATATTTATTCGTTATTACGAAATATTAATTCGTTATTATGAAATATTAATTTGTCTTAACGTAATATTAATTCTTTTTAAATTCACGAAATTATCATTTGTTTTTACGAAACTTTTGACAAATTTAAAAATTTACAAAAACCTTTTATTTGTTTTAAAAATTTTATTGAAGGTCAAAAGAAATTTGTGGGGCTTTTTCCCCAAAACAAAATTTTAAAATAAATAAAATGGAATATAAGGTTTAAAGGGCCTAAGGGTTTCTCTTTTTTAAATTTAAAAGAAAACCCTTTCTGTTTTTCCCTTTTTTCAAATGCATATTTCCAACAGCTGCCAAAAAATTTATTATAGATACATTTCATCTTTTCTTTTAGAAACGAAACAGGCTAGATTATTACTTTCTTTTATCATACACATTAGTTAAAGTGCCTCCAGATTTTCACAAAAATATATTTCTATTTTAAATTTTTAGAAAAATCTTTATTTAACTCAGTGTTTTTGAGGTTTTTCATTGACAGTAAGTATTTTCTCAGTTCCCCCCTCATCCATTTTTAACCCCCCGCCCCGCCTTTTCACCCTTACAGACCTTATCCCCGCAATTCCCTTATCGGCCCGTTTTAATTGATATTATTTCACATTACATGTCCCACTCCTTTCACCATTATGTGAGTGTGTCGGGGGGCCGCGTCCTGTGAACGTTGCGTTTGCCTGGTTGATCTTTATTCTTGTTTTTTTTAAATAAACTTAAAAGCTTATTTCATTTTTATTGGCAAATACATATATATTGTAACTTATTCTTTGTATTGGTTGTATTATATGAGTTTCTGTGGAAATGAGTATTGCATCCGTTTGTTTTGTTTTTCCTCTGCATGTTTAGGATGTTTGTTTTTGCAAATTGTGTGTACATGAAATAGAAATGGTATATTTCAGGTGAAATAAACTAAGTACGGATTTAGAGTTTATTTCTTTTCTGCATTAAATTTCTATCTTTAACTTGTAGACTTAACAGTACACGTTGGGGAGATAAAACATATAATGTAGTGGATTGTGATTAGCACCATATGCTGGCGGTTTTACATGTTGTGGTCTTATTTGGTCTATGTTTATAATGATTTCGGGTTTGACATGTAAATTGAATGTAATATTTACAAGCATGCACTTGGTATTAAGACCACAAGATACTTGAAGAACTAGGCGTGCTTATTATATATTGATTATGCTGTTACTACGCCTATTTAATATATACTTGTGAATAATTGATTTGATTATTTAGTAATCAGTTGATGTAATGTATGTTTAGGTCACGTGTATCCTTCCAGGTTACATTGCAAGTGCTTTTGACGACATGATGTAAAAAGGATTGATTGTTTGCAAGAGTGCCAGCCATCTTGACTGTCCTAGTTACATTTTGGGAACTGCCAAAGAGTATCATCATATCGTAAGATCACGCTCTGTTTAAATGAATCAAATGAAATCGTTTTAAAATTTGCCTGTAAGTCTTAAAACTGTAAGTTAAATATCTAATGTTCATATATGATAAAGATAAAACGTGCCTATGATGTATAAAAGCATGTAATGAATCATTTTTACTAATAAAGTAAGATAGAAATTACCTTAGATATACTTTTCCAGGAAGAGTGGTAGTTTCCGTGTTACAAACCGAAGAGTCCTCTAAATTCCCAAGCACATCATTGACAAAGCATATGAAAGAGGTATTTCCCTGAAGAAAAACATTCCTGTTTCATATCTGATTGAAAAAACTTTAAAAATCATGCAATCAACAGACCAATAAATGTTTAATTCATTTAGGTACTATGAATTTAAAAATATTGATCTTTAATTTTTTTTTTAAATTGTTTTTTTTCTTGCGTTAACCTTCTTGTTTCGTTGTTATTTCATTTAAGAATTCACCGGATGTCAGAGCAAGTTTGAAAAATCAAATATCAAAAGGAGAGAGTTGTTTTTATTTGTATTGATAAAATCTATGTTTAACGGTTCTATAGAACAAAACCACATATATAGTCTTTATAAATAATGAAAAATCGCACAGTTTTCACACAATATATATAAAGAAAAGTCTATCTATATAATTATTTTACCATTAACTAACTTCAACATAGGATTTGATACACAATTCTTAAAAATATCATAATATAAACGTGCATGTGAACATTTCCAGAGCACGTGCATGTTATACCTCTTTAATTATTTTATATCTGATGTTATGTTTGTTGAATATCTCGTGAGCGTCGTCTGGTCTGCTGACGTCATTTAATTTGACCAAATTCACACGTTAACAAAATTGTGATTTGCGCAGCGAACAATTACACAGTTTTGTGCGAATCTCTATTGACGAAATTGACCATACAGAGAAATTAAGTAATGTATCGCCAGCACTTGTTTACAAGTGGCATGGTCATAAATAAGACAGTGGTAAAAAGCCAGAGGGAAAAAATATATGGGAAATCAGTTTGTATTTATTTTAGTAAAAATCTTACGATATGCTGAAGGAGTGAATAGACGCTAATCACAGCCTCAAATTTTGTGATTTTTTCGTCATCATTGGCCGTTTTTTTTGTTCACAGAATTAATTAATAGAAAAAATTAAACATTACACGCGCGGTACATGCCTCGTATGTTGTTTTTATCTTTAAAAAAAATATAAATTAACAAGTGAAGATAACTGAATTGTTTTAATACTTGAGGAGGTCACCTAGTAAGAACTTATCGAACAGTTCGACACTAAGGTCAGTGTCCCCGATGCTCAACATATCTTTAATACGTTTGCTTATTAAAATCAGCCTTTATTAATTGACTGGTGTGTTACTTATTCAGTAGATACATTTTTTGTCTGGTGTCTATCCCCGATTCACCTCTGGATTTTGCTTTTTTACAGCTAAAATAGGAAATATAAGGACGACAGGCTAAGTCAAATAAAATAATGATGCCCGCCACCATTGAATTCAAAAGGGAACTGGCGGTGTAATATTCCAATATAACAATTTTCGGTAAGTCTTTGGATAACACCACTTTCAGCGTTTTGATTGTCGTGGAGAGTTCATCAAAATACTTTGACGTCGATAAAGCCGCTTGACATAGGTCGCTTCCCCATCGTTGTTATGGCATGATATAGTTTAATGCCATTTTTGCACTTTTTAATGAAGTTTGGAATATCTGTTTAAATGGTATGTATGACTATATACGTGACAATATATTTGTAGCTATGCATCTTAATGGTTATAAAACTTGTCACGGAAAATTTGGCACATTAACTCACGAATTTGTCTAATATTATTTTAATTAACTTATCTTTAATATAAGGGGTAAAACTTATCTTGAAGTTGGTCATCTAACAAAAAGGTTTGGGCCTTGTCAGAAAAAACAGGTATTCAAACATATTGCATTGGCTATAGTTAGTATATATAAAACATACTCACCAAATTTGTAGACTTGATGTCAATCATAACTACCTCAAGTGAACGCATACAGTCAATGTAATACCATTCAAAATCTATATCTGAAATAAATCAAACAACACTTTCAGTTTTCTATCTGAGATTATTATGTTGAATATGCCTATAAAAGGAAACAAACTTCTATAAGAAGTACATGCGTAATTTTACTGTCTGTGATTATTTCATTATTTCGTGAATATTCTAGAACAAAGATTGGAATTAGATTAAAGTTCAGCAATACATACATATAAGGATCGTTACTCATGTAATAACATATGCAAATGTACATCATGTACGTCGGCAAGACATTAAGTTAAATCATACCTTGATGCAGTTTGTAGAGGGTTCGTTGATTTAGAATCAACTCTGAAATTAAAAATAAAGCTATACTAAGCAAATAAGATTTAAAATGGAATTCATAAATGATTTGAATTCTGTATCTTAATAGTGTCGATATTTTTGTTAACAATAACCATTACACTATCTGCAGTATATCATTTTGTCCACTCTATTGTACAGATTCGATTTTGAATATCTGAATAATGTTCTTTTAAAATGTCGTTTATCAAAATACATTACATACGAATTTGATGAAATGAATTATTGCAAAGTTAAACTTTTAATACTCTGAAAATAATTGTTCAAAAAGAGAACTAACTGATATTCAACATTTAATAATGGTGCTTTATATCTGGATGACAATATTAAATATCATGTTTTACTGAAAATACTTTAAAGAAGATGTATAAGAATACATACCTGTTGCCATTTCATAGTCAATGCTTTGGACTGGAAACAATAAATAAAGAGAGGAAAAACATTTGAACCGTAAGTACGGAAATTGCGAATATGTTTTCTTTACATATTATGGTAAATGGTTCAAATAATGGTTATAAATCGTCTCACATACGATTGTATTCATATCCGCTAATATAATTAATATTTAAAGAATCTTAGACTATTCGTTAGTAGATATGTAGAATCCGGCCTGAATAGAGGTATGCGACTCATGATCCATTGTGGGATTAAGCACTAATGTAAAAACAATACTACCCAGTCGGTTGAAAAGTTGATTTGTTTAAAATAATTCTATATTTTTTTATACTTGAGCGACAATAGAGAGCGTACAAGAACAGTCAAATAGTAAAATCGGCAGTATAAATAATTTCCGCTTGAAAAAAGCGTGAATGACCTTTCTTTTTTTCCTGTTTGAATCGAAAAAATATTGGTCTAAGCCATGTTTATCGGCTATTAGACACTAATTTGACGTTTTTATTGACCACTCGGGACTGTGGCCTTCGTGGTCCCTTCCTAATGACAAATGCAAAAATATGTAAGATCTGTCATAGCAATCAAACAAGTCGAGATATGAACGATAACTATTTTGGAAACAAATGTGTCAAAACAGTAGAACCTATGTTAATTTAACCTGAACAAAAATCTAAATTATATTCAATTTGTATCTCGCAATGTAATTGTGATATATGTTACAAGTAGTAGTTTTCCAAATAATTCAATAAGATACTTCTTCACTTCTTGTATACTTATATGATCAAAATGTACGATCTCTTGTACAGAATTGCGATATGAGACAATATATATAGCATTTATACGTGTGTATATCCATTTAAATATAACAGCAATTAAACAATATCAATAATTATGCGAATTTAATTTCCGTTCGAAGTCGCCATTTACGATCTATAAATTTCATAATTGTCTCAAAAATTTTGAACAATACATTAAAAGTAAGAAAATTAAAACAGTTTTTCAAACAGGAATAACTTTTCTCCAAAGTAATGATCTATATCGATGAAGCGTGACATGAATGTTACTGATATAATAAGGTAACGTCAGATTTTAAAATAAATGAACATTTGTACTTTGACCTTTCTTTTTATTAAGTACGTTTGTGTGAGTTTTCATAAAGACATATGTGTAAAGTTAAAACAGTTTGATAGATTTTCTTAATCTTAACATTATGTAAGAATATGATAACAGAAACATTTTAAGCGGAATAAAATGGAGACAAATCCAACCCAAGATAATGAGTTATTGAAATAAAAATGTATTGAATCAACCTACTATACTGATCATTCGAATAAACTTAAAGAATCAATTAGTTATTATCACTTTGGACACCATATCAAATAATTTTAAATTAAGTTTATTCGAATGATCAGTATAGTAGGTGCCCTTTGATTGGTCTCATGTGTCGTGATTGATCCGTTTACTTTCGGATTTTGAGCTTAAACTCATCGGACATGACATTTGATTTAATATGATGAAATGATTAAGTTTTATCTACTTTCCGAAATAAAAGGTAAGTTAAATGTGAATGATAAAAATTGATAAAATACTTATTTATTTAAAGCTGCATTTTATCAATTTTATTAAAACAGAAATAGCTAAAATTGTTTAAAGAAAGGGAAAGGGGTTAAATAGCGACTCCCGGTCTTAATTTTGTGTCGAGACGACCAAAATGACTTTATAACTTTTTAAATCAGTAACTTCTGTTATGTATGCAACATATTACATGTATATAATTTATATCTGACCAGTTGGTATTTCCAATATTATCATTGTTCTATTTTTAGACATTAACTACATGTATGTACTAGAACTTTCTAAACTGTTGTAGAAAACTCATGCATTATATTTAGATAGAAACTTCTGGAATGTTCTTTATTGTTGAAGTTGCTAGATTATGATTACTTTAGAACATAATAGACTTTTCTGGAATTCTCTTAGTTAATATATATAAAGTGACATTTTTCATTACTGGTACCTTTTTAGTCATCAGTGATCTTTTAAGTCATCAATATATTTATAGTATTATTCAACTTGGAAATTAAGTGATTTTTTGGAGCTTGGATTATTAATTATTCTTGTGGATTTTATTGTGGGAATTTATTCTAAAGTGTTCTTGGATTTTACTTGGATTTAAATGTGTTATTCAAAAAAGGATCATTCCAGGATCAGATTAGACATTTAAGATTTCATTTTTATTTGGACTTCAGGTATTTTTAAACGTAATTTGTTATTTTATTTTTCTTTAATAATTTTCTGTAATAAATTTGTTATTATTACAAGTTTGTTGCTGGCTTTTCTTTCTCGTTACGCCTGGCTCGTAACAGAAATTGGGGGCTCGTCCGGGATTTGAATATTTATTTTGGCTACATTATTGGAAATTATTACCGTTTATTTTACATTTTGTTATTACCGTATTTACTCATTTGAGTTGATATCATAGTTGTTCTATTAAGTGTGCCTTTCAATTTTGAAATTTTTGAAACACACCACTTTTAAGTTTAAAACCAGCAGCAAGCAGTCATGTCTTTTGATTTAGAAAAGTTTGTAGCTGAACCTTCCCAGGAGGTATTAGATTTGGCTAAGAAAACTGATTTGCTTGATCTTGCAAAAAAGTATAATTTATCAGAAATTAAATCTTCAATGCGTAAACAAGAAATTAAAAATCTTCTGATTCATTATTTTGTGGATGAAGATATTTTTGGACAAGATGCACTTTCTCACATTGTTGAAAAACACTCTGAAATTTCTGAAATAAAAATAAAAGAGCTTGAACTTCAATTTAAATTTGAACTAGAGAAAATGCAGCTAGAAAAAGAAAGGGAAGAAAGACAGTTAGAAAAAGAAAGGGAAGAAAGACTGTTAGAAAAAGAAAGGGAAGAAAAAGAAAGGGAAAGACAGTTTGAAAAAGAAAGGGAAGAGAGAAAATTAGAAAAAGAAAGGGAAGAGAGAAAATTAGAAAAAGAAAGGGAAGAGAGAAAATTAGAAAAAGAAAGAGAAGAGAGAAAATTAGAAAAAGAAAGAGAAGAGAGAGAATTTCAGTTAAGAATGAGAGAATTAGAAATCAAAGAGAGAGCAAATCAGTTTGAACATAGAATAAATTCAAAATTTGATGTCACTAAAAATATTAGGCTTGTTCCACCTTTCCAAGAAAAAGAAGTTGATAAGTATTTTCTTCATTTTGAAAAGGTTGCTGAAAATTTAAAATGGCCAAGAGAGCACTGGACATTACTTTTACAGAGCGTCTTAATTGGTAAAGCTCGTGAAATCTATACACAACTTACTGTTGAACAAAGCTCTAATTATGATAATGTAAAAGATTTAATTTTGAAAGGTTATGAGTTAGTACCAGAGGCCTACAGGCAAAAATTCAGAAATTCTAAGAAAGAAATTGGTCAAACCCATGTTGAATTTGCAAGAGAAAAAGAACAACTTTTTGATCGGTGGTGTCTATCTAAGAAAATTAATAAAAATCATGAAAAGCTCAGACAGCTCATGTTGGTTGAAGAGTTTAAACGTTGT